TTCCTCAACTTCGAGATCTTTAGGAAATTCTGGCTCTTTGTAAGCTAATCCACTCCTAAGTGTGATAGCTTTCACATGATCGGAGGGATCTGCTTCACTTGAGCTTTCGAAAGAATTTTCACTTAGCTCCTCTTCAGAATTTTCTAACTTTTTAGAATTAGTTTTGACCATTATGTTAAGGAGGGTATCAGAATCCTTCTGCATCTCTTTTAGTTCAGATCTAAGATCACTAATCTCTTGAGACATAGATTTTTCAAGCTCTAGAATCTTTTTGTTTAGGTTTTCAGCTTCAGAAGAGGGAACACTAGGATAGGAAACAGGATTAGATTGAATAGCCGAGATTGGTTCAGAAGGTGGTGTCCAACCAGGCTTGAAAGACGTTTTGGCCGCGGTCAGAACAGCCACGACCGCGGTGAAAGGTTGTTTGGCCGCGGTTAGAACAGCCACGACCGCGGTGATCAGAAACGAATGGAACATCATGAATTTGATATACTTCTGCAGTGTTCATCATCCCTTGATCATAAGAATCCATTGGGTTGTCCCAACCATCAAAGTTACACGTATTGTGTACCCTATTTGGTTGTTGCAATCCAAGATGACTCATTATGTGACGGAGACACTTTATAACTTCTGAAATTTCTTCTTTCTTCTCAGGAAGTGCAGAATTACCAAAGGTTACTTGATTTCGGATGCTGTTTCCCAAATTTTTAATGAAAACGTGAGCATCTTCTACAGATCTAGTTGTGAAATCTCCATTACTTGCTATATCAAAAGAGTGTCGTAACTCTGGAGTTATACCGCGATAGAAGATACTTAGCAGGTATTCCTCGGCATATCCATGGTGTGGACAATCTCTTTGGTATTCCCTAAATCTTTCCCAAGTATCTAAAAGATCTTCATCTTCTTTTTGTTTAAAAGTTCTTATATTCTTTCTTAAGAGATTTGCAAGATTTCTAGTGTAAAAACGATTTAGGAAAACAGTTTTACATGCTGCCCACGTTTTTAGTGAAGCAGGTGGCAGAGATTTTAGCCATTTGCTGGCCTTATCTCTAAGAGAGAATGGGAAAAGACTACACTTGTGGTAATCCCCATTTGCTGTAATGGTTGCACATAATTCTTCGAACGTCTCGATATGGTCTATCGGGTTTTCGAATGAATAACCAGAGAATTGATTTTGTTGAACTAAATGGATATGGGGTACCTTAATTTCGGTTTTGCCATCCTCAGGTAAGGCTGGTTGAATAGCTCTTCGATCTCCCATGAATTTTTTGAGTGAATCGAAACTTCCAATCAGTTCATCATCATCTTTGTGTTTGACCGATCCGATTAGCTCATTGTCATCATAAATCGGTTCTTCAAACTCATCATCAGTCAGGTCATCATCGTCGATTGGATCACCATCCACACGATTTGGTGGATCACCAAGAGTTCCGGGAACATGTTCTCGGTCTCTCATCTCAGAGAAACCTGAAAAATTCAAAAGAAAAAGTAAAAGTAAACAAGTGTTCTAATGGATTTAAGCTGGGATTCGCAACGAAACAAATTTAAGTCCCCGGCAACGGCGCCAAAAACTTGATGCGAGCAAAAGCGGGTTGTAAACGGGGTTGTTTGTTTTCGTTTTAATAAGCTTCAGGTTTTAAATTTATAACCCCTAAATGTCTGCAAGTGCACAGATGTGCGCTGTAGTACTTAGGGTATCGATCCACAGAGACTTAGTTGTTTCAGTACGAATTCAACGCAACGCTTAAATCAGATTAGAACTAAAAGGTTTTGGTTTTGGTTTTGGGTTTTTGTTGTCACTAAATCTAAACTAGAAAGCTAAACAAGTAAAAGCAATTGAAAGTGAAAGCAAATAAAAGCAAGTAAAAATCGATTAAACAAGAGGCGAATTGAAGCAAGTAAAAGCGAATGAAAAGCAAATAGAATTGAAGGTAAAAATCGATTGAAACTAGAAGGCTGTAAACAATTAAAGACAAATGTTGGGGCTCAAGGGGTTTTGAGGGGTTCATGGTCTAAGCTATGTCGATTTTAAACAAGTGATAAAGGTAATCAAGTACGTATGTTCTAGAACTCGAGGCACGGAAGTATGAATAGCCTACTTTCGCAGCACTAAACAACTATCTCTCGCAACCCTAATCAGTAAGTTTCCACTCTGATTCTGGAAGGGAGAAGATGCAATAGCAGAATAAGACTCATCAACATTCACAACTCAACTACAGGTAGGTTTCCACTCCTATAGAAGAACTGCTCGTTTCACCCTAGTTCAGACAATCAATGAAAGCTTTCGCAACATATCATATCAGATCGGCTTCTAAGTGGCCAGCAAAGAATCACGCAGTAAGATTAAAGGCAAACAAAGAACATCTAGAAGATTATAAATCCTAAATCTATCGATTCATAATCAAAGACACATGAAATTCCCTTTGAACAATCCCTTTAAACCCAACTGGGTAACTACTCAAACATATTATAAACAATCATCACAAAGTATTGAAAGTTGCAGGAAATTAAAGAAAAGAAGGAAGAAAAACGAAGAACAGAGTTGCAGGTGGAGGCGCGATGATGCTCTCCAGCGGCGGCTCCTTCTTCGGGATCGACGGCGGCGGCTCCTCTCTAGGGTTCCACGAAATCTCTCTCTCTTTCTATCTTATGTCGTCTCCACACCTTTAGGAATGACCTAAAGGGGGTATTTATAGCTTCTGGGGTGGTTCTGAACACTTAGGGCTTCAGAAATAACGAAAGGAATTGATCTGGGCTTTAATTAAGTCTTCGGGAAAGTGAACGACCAAAGTCCGCGGTCGCGGTGGCTCTACCCGCGGGAAAATAGGTGTTGGCTGCGGTCCCGGCACTTGCTCAAAGGTTTTCAAAGGACTTCTATGTTTTTGGATTTTAAAAGATTTTTCAGGTAATTTGGGATAAAGAGATACAAATTGGAACAAAAAAACTCTTTTGGATAAATTCAGACCGTCAGAATTCTTATGGAGAGACGAAAACCTTCTCACCTTCTGATCACCCTCAAAATTAGACAACTAATAGAAGACTCAACTAGCTTTCAAATTCACTTTGTTTGGGGACATTCCAACGGTTGGATCTCAAGATATTCCATTTGTCCCAGAGATTCGAAGACGGCCAGCAGCCCACGCAACCGCGGCCAGCAGCCTATCCACCGTGGCCAGAGCCACGCGACCGCGGCCAAGCCTTCATTCCCCATGGTCACAGCCCACGCGACCGCGACCAGGCATCTCTGACCTAAAAATTCCATTTCTGAAGCCCAAATCATTTCCCAGCCTTAATTCCGGAACCCTAGAGACCCTGTAGTATTGAAAACTATAAATACTTGTCATTTAAGTCGTTTTTAGACATCACCTTTCATACTTTTACAGAAACCCTTTTTCCAGCCATTTTATGCGATTTTTAGAGACGATTCTTCAACTCTGAGTTCATCAATAGAGAAATTTTCTTTCATCTCTTTTGTTTACTGTTTTTGATTGCTTTCATTAAAATCAATGATGATGTCGACCTCAGCCATGGCTGAGTAGATCCCAAGTTGGGCATAGGGTTCCCGAAAGGGGTTCTCATAATTGTTTGAGACATCTAGGTTTTTAGATCTGGGATTTAACTATGTTCTCTGTTTATTCTCATCTTTAATGCATGTATGCTTGATTGATCACCTCGTATCTGATCTAGATAGTTAGTGTTGCGAAAATTTTCATTAAGTATCAGACATAAAATGAAACAGACGATTTTTCCGTATGAGTGGAAACCTACCTGCGGCGAAATCGTGAGTACTGGCGAGTCCTGTGCAGCTCTTTCGTTTTCTCCCCTCCAAGGCCAGAGTGGAAACATACTGGTCAGAGTTGCGAGAAACAGTTGGTTATGATCACGACAGTGACATAGTCATACCGCTGAACTCTAGCTCTAGAACCCTAATATTTCGATATCCGTCAATCCCAATCTAAAATCCCTAGTGTTGAAACCGATTATGATCCCTGTAGAGTTCCCGAAAGTCCAGCGTATTTAATCATAGTTTACAAACCAATTAATATTTACTTGCTCTTCTAGATCTGAATTTTATTTGCTTTAGTTTGAATTTTACTCGTTTCATCTTGTTTCCATTCGATTTTTATACTTGCTTTTTAGGATAGATCCATTTGCTTTCTTTAGTTCTAGTTTAACCCGTGACAAACAACTAACCCCTAAAACCGATTTAGTCTAGACATAAACTTAGAAACCGTAGAAAAATACTAGGCACACAAATCCTTGTGGATTCGATCTCTAAGTACTACAACTGATTAGCTGTGCACTTGCGGTTTTAATTGTTTTTACTAAGGGTAAAAGTTTTTCCCTCACCTTGTAGCACATCACATAACATCACAACACGAGTCTGAACATCATTTTGGACCCTTCCTTGTATGTGGGCCACCTCTCCATTACTCATACCAATGATGCCAAACAAATAAAAAATGAATGGAATAAGTTAAAGAATATGGCAAAACAGATTGTCATTATAACATAGATCACTTTTGCTAAGCATTAACATAACAAAGAATACACAACCATTACATTAATTTATTGAAATTAATACAGAACTAACGCAAAACACTTAGACCAAGTCATACAATGACTAAGACCATCTCCATTGCAAGGATATAGTGGGGTTGTAAGGGTTTTAAGGGTATTAAAAAAAATTCAGAAAAGGGAAAAAAGCTTATATCCCGGATTCATAAACTTTTGTGGAAGAACCTCATTTAGTGGGTATATAACCACATGGCGCCATGTAATTGGAAGAAGGAGAGGCAGAGAGAAATAATCAATGTTTAATATTTTTTTAAGATGTCAAATTTAATATTAAACAATGTTTAACAACCCCTCATAAGTATAAGGGATGGAGATGCTCTAATACATAACAATGCCACTCATTCACTTAACTCATTATGCCAACATGTCATTCAGTAATTTGTTCTTTAATGTTATTTCTGTGTCTGATTTTGGCTCGGGTTTTAAAAGGAGAGCCTCAAAGATTTTCTGCAAATCTTGTCTTTCCTTTCCAAATCGATTTTCTTAATTTTCCACATGCTTTCTAACTCCGCTAAACCCTTGCCTTCTGAGCTTTCAGCATTTGTAGTGCTCCCATTCCATTTACCCTTAGCGGCTTTAGATGTCTTCACTCCAGGCACTCGACTCATTGAGACAGCGCCATTACTTTCAGGTTGGGAACTCGAAACTCCTTTTATTCCATCTTCTACCTTTCTACGTTTCACCTTCCCACCATCCTTCTCTGCCGAGGCTGAACACGATTTTTGATCATGACGTAACTCCCTCCACGCATGCTCTAGCCCGAACTTGAACCCGTAATCGTTGTAGAAAATTTGGTGTGCTGACTTTATTAAATCATTATCGTTTTGGCCGCTTGAAAGCTCTTTCGTTGCAGCCTCATAACAGCCTACAAATTCGCACACCTGTTCATTAAGTCTTCCCCACCTTTGCTTTATTTGGCTGACCTCTCTATTTGGGAACCCGACCAACTAGGGGCTATTGTTGAAGTATTGCTTGATACGTGACCAAAAAGCTCATGTCATTCCCGACCACTGGGTCTTTTGAGGTGTTCAACCAAGCAGTTATTAACACCATGTCTTCTATCGGACCAGGGCCGAAGGTAGTGAAGTAGGAACGGGGTTATGTGCCCTCTACTCTTTTTATTTTTTTTTTAAAATATTTAGATAAATTTAATTACAATATTTTTAATTAAAAGATAAAAAATTGCCTCCAATAATTTTTGTTCCTTTGTTTATAAATTTATGCACCAACTAATTTTTTTTTACATCTGCCACTGTATGGGACTCCACTTCCTCCTTCTCACAGCATTTGCATCTTCAGAATATTGCGAGCTAAACGTAGGGAATTGGGTAGAATCAAGATCTATAGTTGGTGAAAATGAAAATGGGTTCTCTTCTTGGCTATTCAATAGGTTTACAAACCCATGCGAGTTACCATATGTGTTTGGAGAGCCCATGTTGTGATAAATACCAGAAGTTTTTAGAAAGAATGTGAAAGTTTAAAAAACGAGTTTGCTTAAGAGTGAAGGGTTATCGAGAGTTTAAGAAAGAGTTTTTGGAGAGAATGTGAAAGTTTTAAAAACGAGTTTGCTTAAGAGTGAAGGGTTACCGAGAGTTTAAGAAAGAGTTTTTAGAGAGAACTAGTAATTGGTCCGCGCTACGCGCGGATTATTTTGATAAAAGAAGATAAGTTTGAATTTAATAATTTTGAAATGCTTATTTTGGATGGTAATATTTATTCGAATAAGATTTTCTTAATTTATTAAATGTCTATTTGTATTTTAAAAACATAATCTCTACCGAACATATGTAAGAAAAACTTAATTTTGGTTTTCTTTGCTGTTGACCGATTTGGTTATCGAGCCGCTGACTCATTTAGTTACCCGTACGGGAGTAAGGTTTTGAGCTCTATAAGCCGATATCTCTATATATACAACGACAAACGACAATAATCAATGTATTGTAATTTATGAAATTGAATTTACATTTGTAGTCTTATCACACACTGTCCTACGAATCTGTGTACTAACAATTTTCTCTTACACAGTTTATTTTAACGTTTTGTAAAGTTTGTGTTTTAACCCTTAATCTACACTAATAAAAGGAGATAGTTTGTTTCTGTTATATCATAGTATAATTTACACAAATGAGATACCATACTTTTTTTAAGTCAAAGTAAATCAGATTCATACATCACATAATAACTCAGCAGCTCGTACTTAATAAAGTTACGCTAGACTTCTTGGCTCATTATTTGTTTTACTTATGGGCAATCACATCCCACTATATTATTTAAACCACGATTATACTTTCACAATCAAGAAGTAGTTTTTTTATTACACTAAATTTCTAATGGAGCACGAACCATGCGAAACTCTTTAAAAGTAATTGTAGGCTTGTTAGCTAACAGAGGTAAAATATTTCATGCCTACTTTGATATTGTACGTTGCTAGAGCTGATTGGATTGCTGTTAATAGCTTTTTGTATTCACCTCTATGTACATAGACATTAGTTAAAACCATATAAGCATCTAAGTGAGAATACGAATTCAAATCTTGATTGACCATCAAAACACTAAATCTGTGGATATGATATTCCATTAAATATGTACATTACGATCACTTTTTATGAACTAAAATTCAGAAGTTGGAGAGTTAGATGTTCAGACCTTCAGCCATGACTTCATATATTAGCCATAAATAGAATATTTGTGACATACTTATTAACTTTAAATATCCTCTTTCTTTTTGTAAGATTTTTTTTTAAAAAAAAAAATCCCTTGATTGGGTCCTAACCAGGCTGGGGAGAGGATGGAGAGTGGTTTATATCATGCTTCTCTGCAAACAAACAAAAAGATAATACGTGTTAATTATAGATTATTTTGCAAGATGCTAAGCACTACAATACATAGAATACCACCGTGAAGTTAAACTACAATAACATATAGAAGTTAAAATATTCCATCATTTTTATGTGTGCGCCAGCTGAATTATTTTTCCAAGAGATTAGGGTATCTAATTTCTCTTAAAATATTCGAAAAAGAAAAGAGATGCTATGTGAACATACCAAAATTGACTGAAACCCCAAACGAAATATGAAATTGAAATAAGGGAGAAGTCGAAGGACGCAAAAGATGAAGGCTTTAGTTTTGAAATCAGCGAAGAGTAGACCTTCTCATTCAGTCATCGGCACCCCCTTCTCTGTCAGAAGCAATATTTGGAATCCTTAATTATTTACAAATTATGAAGTTACATAACAATTTTGAATATCTGAAAATTAGATAATTAGGGTTCAAAGTCGGAACCTTCTTTCCTTTCTTGATCTTCACCACTTATATCATGTAGTTGAGTGTCTCTAACCATGGTATTAAAATTTCTACTGGCATGCCACATGATCCCTTCTTTTCTTCCTCCACAACCTCTCGCCGTTCTTCTCAATGCCTTTCACTTGTCTACATGATTTGGTCACAAAATTAGAAATCTACAAATGAAAATCTTTTGGGTATATATGAAGCAAAAAGTACAAACCTCACGGTTCTTCGATCCTAGAAGACATCCTAAGAACAATAACATATGTATGGTTTGTTGGAATCAATATTTGTGGATGTAGAATACGAAGAGGTATCATTTAGTCTTGGTAAATGGTAAACGTTGAATTTGGAAGAAGAAACGAAAGTATGAAAACGGCTAATTAGGAATGAGTTCTTTTCTTTTACGTGGGTGTGAACTTGCTGACGTGGCAATTTGCAAAGAACTGTCGATTAAGCTGCGATTTCACAAATGCCACGTGTCTACTTGAAACTAAACTAAAACCTGCTGATGTGGACACCTTTAGGAGCCTCAAACTTCTACTTTTATTAGAGTAGATAGATGTGAAAGTTTAAAAACGAGTTTGCTTAAGAGTGAAGGATTACCGAGAGTTTAAGAAAGAGTTTTTAGAGAGAATGTGTAAGTTTAAAAACGAGTTTGCTTAAGAGTGAAGAGTTACCGAAAGTTTAAGAAAGAGTTTTTAGAGAGAATGTGAAAGTCTTAAGGAGTTCTTAAGAGAGAAGGTGAAAGATTTAAGAAGGATTTCTTAAGAGAGAAGGTCAAAGATTTAAGAATGTAAAATAGTTAGAGAAGGGTTCAAGTGTTTGAAAAAAAATTTTAGAGAAGGGTTCAAGTGCTTGAAAAAAAGTTGGTCATGTGTTTTATGTTATTCTGTGACGTGTAAGTTAGAAGTGTTAAAGTTTTCAAAAGTCATCAATGAAAGCATTAACTATTCAACCAAGGAACTAACCATGACAAGATATGCTTTAACTTTTAACCTAACAACTTTAACCAAACCTAATCAGTCAAGCATTGATAACAAAGACAATAACTATTTACCTAACAAGAAACTAACAATCCTAAATGCTAACTACGTACGCTAACTGAGAGTAGAAGACATGACTAACCTTGTTTCAAAGCTTGAAGGATCTGGTTCGCATAGCTTGAAGGACCTTGTTCGCCTAGTTCCATTGAGTAATCAAACCTTACCAAAAAAACAGAACATGTTATTAATGAAAGCATTAACTATCTATTATTTAACAAAGAGAGTAAAGAAGAATTACCTTGAAGATTGAAGAACATGTTCTTCTTACGCCTGTACACGCAACAAAGGAATAACCAAACACTCTCGGAAATGAATGACATACATTCTCCAAATGCATAACCAAGCAATAACCATACAGGTTTTGTCTTACATTACAACAACAGCAGCAGAAACAAACTAAAAGAAATAACCGCTTAAACACTTATGTAGATATTCCAACTACTTAAACATATAGGAGAGAGCCGCAAAAACACAAAGAAAACAGAGCAACAAAGGGATTTCACCTTCATTACGAAAGTCCTGCTTCAATCTTGAAACTTCTCCATGCAGCACTCAGAGCTTCTCCTTAACTTCTGCAATGCTGGGATCGGAGAATCGGTCAACCCTTAAGGCCAAGTCTGTCAAACCCTGAACCCTCTCCTTTTGCTTTTGAATCCTTATCGCCATTCTCTTGAACTGCTCTGTCACAGTCTCATCTCACCATTTGAAAATATGTTCTTCACTCCCTTATAACAAAACTTATAGTTAGATTAAAAAATTGCTAACAAACAAAACATAGAAACTCGAGATTACAGTGTTCAACTCACCTCGTGTAACCAGGCGGAACAACGGTAGTACTTTCGTCCACAATTCAGTCCGCATGTACAAACTACAAGCTTAATACCTAAACCACAGAAGCATCTTGCCGGAATGCCGTAATTAGCATCCGCGTACGTCCAGCCCATGTTGGCCATTGCTTCATCCTCAGATGAGGACTCGCTGTAGCTGATCGGCATGGCTAACCTCGCAACCACAACAAAAAAAGAAGAGAGATAAACTAAAACCTACGAACATGAGACTTGAACCAATGATGAAAATAGGTTACACATATGGGTTCAAGTAAATTCAACGAGAGAGACATAGATCATTATACATACATAAATTCATGGGTTAAATCACATACATACTCTAATTAATACAAAAATCCCTGATTTAAAACATACCGAAGAAGCCAAATTTTTCCCCAATTGAGTAATCCTAATTTCAGAGCAATATGTGAATCGATTACATAAACAACTATTGAATCACAGACAGAACCTAATCGATACAAAAACCCTTAATTTAAATCAACCCGACGAACCCTAATTTTTCCCCAAGTGAGTTAACCCTATTTTCGATAAAAACAACCCAACAAATGAAAAAATCAACATATCAAGGGTCAGAGATTTCGTACCTTGCTAATCGATCGGAGATCAAGGGCAGTCTCGATTCCGGCGGTAGGAGTTTTCGATTTTCTCTTTTGATAAGTGTCGAGAGAGAATAAGTCTTTCGGTGGAAGAAGAGAGATAGCAAAAAATGTTCGAGCAAAAATCGAACCCCGACCCAAAATTTTTTTCCCTTAAACCAAGGGCCAATAACGTTGTGAAACCTGGCCGATGAGCCCTTATCGTTCTCACTAATAGTTGTCAATAGTTGGGAAAAGCAACACAAAATTGAAAGAGCTAGCGTTTTGTAAATAGTAAATCCAAGGCAGTTTATAGATCTGAATATTATCCAAACGGGATAATTTTTAAACACCGCCAGATATTTCACTCAACGGACTAACAATGGCATAATTGATTGGATATCCAAATGCCAGAAAGACGCTCTTCCAAAAGAAGAGAAGACAATTGCAAAAATCGTAGAAGGAGAAGTCTCCCGAAAGATCAAGGAAAACCATATTTATAACAAAAACCAACAAATTGAAAACAAAGAAATAGTACAACCAGCCGGCATCGGCCAGAGAAAACACAGATAAAACGGAAATTGAAAACGATCGTCTTAAAAGTCGCTTACAAGCTGGTTTTTAACCAGAATTTTATAAGTCGAAAGTGGTGAAATTGTTTTGTTTAAAACAACTTGTACATATCCTAATAACATAATTAAAACAAAAAAAAACAAAAAACAAAATGCCAAACTCATTCAGTAAACTTTTTTATATTGTCATAGATTGAGAATGTATGCTTGGTTCACTTTAGAAAATATTAAAATTGTAAATAATTCCAAAAACTTATAATGAAAATACTATTTCTGATAATTTTTAGATATCTTGACATTAAATTAAATAATTAAAAAAAACTAAAGAACTATCAAAAATATTTGACGCGTTCAGGCGAAGATTTTCCGTTCGTCCCACTTTCAGCCTGCGGCCTTCAACGAGCAGAGGGACACACTACACTAAGCTTTCTCCCTCCCAATCAATTTTTCTTTCCCGTGAAAGAAAATAACAGAGGAAAATGACAGAAGACGATGGAAACGACAAGAAAATGGAAGGATCTAATTCTAAGAAGCTCAAACTTGTAACCTTCACCGGAGCGGCTGGGCTGTTGGGACTCGCCGTCAGTTACGCCATCTTCGCTTTCAAGTCTCATAAGGAAAAATCAAAGAAGAAAGGTACTCTCTCGCTCTCGAATGCTTGGCTCGTCTTCTTTCTTTTCAGTTTCTCTTGGCTCAATTCCGCATTGTATGAATTCGCATCTTACAATGCCCTTTTTGATAATTTTTCTTCGAAAACTCAGGTCTTCCTGGGTGTGATACTGTTTGTGTCAACCTATCGGCGAGGGAGATTCTCGAGCTAGCTGACGAAATTATTTCCAAGTCCACGAGGGTTCATGAGAATGTTGCCTTGGTTCCTCTAAATAAGGTAGTCGAAATTAATGGAAATTGGAAACACTCTCACTCGATTCAACTTTTTGTGGAAAGAGCAAGATGGATATGGAAATATATTTCTTACTTGATTGTTTGTTGATTCTTGTAGCTCTCTTATGAGAATGTTGTATTGCCGCTGGCAGAACTGGAAGCAAGACAACTCTCGCTTATACAATGCTGTGTGTTTCCTAAGATGTTATCTCCCCAGGATAGTGTTCGTAAAGCCAGTGCTGAAGCAGAGCAGAAGATAGACGCTCATGTTCTTGCCTGCAGGTGTTTTTGGATTCCTTCTGTTGTTTGTTTTACTGTCTTAGAGTGGGAAATGATAGGCATGACATTGATGATCATATCTTTGTGCAAGCTTATCAGAAAACGTGAAGATGTTTACCGGGTGATCAAAATTTATGCCGCAAAGGGAGAATCAATTTCTCCGGAAGCTAAATGCTACCTTCAGTGTCTGGTAAGGAAAACTGAATAATATGCTCGTCCTATATATAGCTCTGAAGGTTTTCACTACCTCAGACATTACCGTATTACACGTTAATGGAGTTCCTAAATGCATAACATTCCTTCTGCTAACACGATGTAGTGCCTGAAAAAATTATTCGAAGAACTGATATTATAATTGACAATTTGTATAAATCTATACTCCTTAGAGCTGTTATCCTTTCTAATCTCGCCTTCACAATTCTAGAATTTTTTTGGTCATTGGCTTTGTACTATTGATTGTTACTTAATTTTCTTTACTTGTGCTGTAGAAAGTGGATTTGACTAGTCTTGAAATTTGCTTAACAACATGTCCAGTTGCGAATAAGAATCAATTCTTGTTTTTTCTACGTATGAACAAGGCTTTTGAGGTTTTCCTATCCACCTGGATTCGCAAATAGGACTCTTTAAGGGTTTGACCAGATGTTTTGTGTTCATGATCTTCCTTCAGTTGCTCTAAAAGAAAGCGTTGGAATAATGAGCTTATTTCATTGCACGTTTGCAAGAGTTGCTTGTAGACATCTATTGTATTTACAAAGATGTGTGAGTTGAACGAATGTATTGATTTATGTTTTATCAGTGACAGGTTAGAGACTTCGAGCACAATGGTCTGAACCTTACTGCAACAAAAAGAGAGGAAGTGGAGAGATTGAGAAATGAAATTGATGAGCTAAGCTTGCGATATGTTCAGAATTTAAATGAAGATAGTTCTTGTCTCTTTTTCACTGAGCATGAGCTGGCTGGTTTGCCTCTGGAATTTCTTCAGGTGTTTACCCTAAATCTTATTTAGCTTGCTCTGCCTCATGCAAATCTGTAACCTAGTCTGTGTCGGACAAGAATTTTTCTGAACTATTTCTCATTTCTGCACTTCTTCTTGCAGAGTTTGGATAAAACTCAAAATAAAGAATACAAGCTCACCTTAGAAAGTAGTCACGTGGCAGCTATTCTAGAGTTGTGCAAGGTAAGAATTCCCATGTACCTTTTTTTTTAATAACTGAGAACAACTTCCTCATCTCTGTGTCCAGGCCATAACATTCGAATCTGTCTGTGAAAAATTTTTGGCTCTTGTTTTAAACAGATAGCCAAGACAAGGAAGACAGTGGCTATGGCATATGGAAAGAGATGTGGAGATTCCAATATTCCAGTGTTACAAAAATTGGTAATTGCGTGTCTATCTAGAAACCCGTGACAGAAGCCTGCAGCACACTTCAGTCAGTTGACTTCTTACTATTCTGGTCTCTGCAGGTTCAGTCGCGCCATAGATTAGCTCGCTTACTTGGTTATGCACACTTTGGAGATTATGCTCTTGATCATAGGATGTCAAAGACATCAACAAGGGTTTGTGAAATATCCTTCATCTGATTTGTTTATCATTCTTCATTATCTCGACTATACTGACGGCCTTCTTGTGTGCAGGTGATCAGGTTTCTGGAGGACATCTCTTCCAGTTTAACTGATTTGGCTATTAGGGAGTTTTCCATTTTGAAAGATCTGAAGGTAAAATATAATGTTGGTATTTCGTTTAAAACATATAATAGGTGATGCCTTTCTAAACATTTAACTTGCCGGGTTCCAATATCAGAGGAAAGAAGAAGGGGAGCTTCCGTTTGGCGTTGAAGATCTGTTATATTATATAAAGAGGGTAGAGGAGTTGCAGTTTGATCTTGATTTTGGAGATATCCGGCAGTACTTTCCTGTCAGTTTGGTCCTTTCCGGCATCTTTAAAATATGTCAAGACCTTTTTGGTGAGTTAAAAGTCTGTACTCTGAAATCTTTTGGGGTCAAGAATTTTTTTTTTCCTTTGTTTATGTGTCTCGAATAGATTATTATTGATTTCATCCTCATCGTAGCTCGCTGACCAAACCAATCTTTCTATTTCCCCGTGCAGGAATAAAAATTGAGGAGGTTTCAGAAATTGATGTCTGGTATTATGACGTTCGAGCGTTTGCTGTATTTGACTCCGGGTCTGGGAAGCTTTTGGGTTATTTCTATCTTGACATGTTTACAAGGTCAATTAGCAACCCTAGCTCATCATCCACTTCACTTTCAGAGCCTCCATTTTGTTATAAGTTGTGAGCATATTTTTGTTGGACAGGGAAGGGAAATTTAGTCACAGCTGTGTGGTGGGTCTTCAGAACAATGCACTGTTCTCCAATGGTGCCTGTCAGGTGACAATCCTACATCCATGTCAGACCTTTATCTAGAAGTGTCATGCAGATCAAAAATAGAAATCGATATGGGATCTCGTGTGGATGTATTTTAGCGTGTACCGGCATTTATTTTGAATCTGTTTCTGTCCACAGATTCCCGTGGCGTTGCTTATTACACAGTTTTCAAAAGATGGTGGTGGTGAAGCTGTGCCATTGGGATTCTCTGAGGTGGTTAATCTTTTTCATGAGTTTGGCCATGTGGTACGTGAATGAGATATGTTAATTAGAACAGTAGAAGAAATTCTTTTGTAAATCAAAGGATGTTATGAGTTGATGTTCCTTGCTAACTATTGGGAAATAGGTCCAACATATCTGCAACCGTGCTTCATTTGCTAGATTCTCAGGCCTACGTTTTGACCCTGACTTCCGAGAGATCCCTTCTCAATTATTGGAAAACTGGCAAGTAAACTGATATTTGTTATTCTTTTTCTTTAGTAACACAAATCCTTACAGATGGAATATAATTCTGGTATCTCTAGGTGTTACGACAGTTTCACTTTGAAGTTAATATCAGGTTATCGTCAGGTGAGTACTTGCACAACAGAATTGTTGACAATGGATCTTTGGTTCAACTTGGGATTTATTCCTGTTACCCTTTTAGTCTGTGACTGCTTGATTCAATTCGTTGGACTTGCAGGATATCACCAAGCCACTTGTGGATGAAGTCTGCAAAACACTCAAACGTTGGCGATATTCTTTCTCTGCCCTCAAATCGCTTCAGGAGATATTATACTGTGAGACATCTCTGCGCATGTCGTTTTCTGATATACCATCCAAATTGACTTCTAATAGGCTACTGTCAAAACTTGTCTTAATGACTATATACCTCTTCAGTTTGATTTACTTTAGTTTTTATTCACTAAAAATATCAATGTATTGCTAGTAAGACCAGTAGATTGTGATTCTTATTATGTGTTCGAGGAACCGGAAGTTTACTAAGAGGTATTTTAGCAGTGTAAGAAGCTCACGATAAGGTAAAATGTGGCATTGGCTAATGATGCTTGAAACGTTGATGACTAGGTCTATTCGATCAAAAAATATATTCGGACGATGATGTGGACTTTCACCAGCTAATCAGGAGTCTTCATCCGAAGGTAAAAGCAGAAACTCGCAAAGCAATCTGGTTTTATTTACTGTGGGTAAGTTGTCTCAATACTTAGTAGTGTCTCTGTATAGGTAATGTTAGGGCTACCAATGGTGGAAGGAACAAACCCTGCCTCATGTTTCCCACGTGCTGTAATCGGCTCTGAAGCAACGTGTTACAGCCGTATATGGAGTGAGGTATGATTGATTCACTGTGGTTAGTCCTCGCTGATCGCTCTTTCCATGATTTTGTAATATGAGAACCTGCTTGTTTCCACAGGTGTTTGCTGCTGATATATATGCTTCAAAATTTGGTGATGGGAATCCGAACCTGTATGCAGGCATGCAGTTCAGAGACAAAGTAAATGAGAAGCTTATTTGTTTCTATTCTTCCTACTTTAGTAGTAGTGTGTGAATGTGAGTGTAACACAGCCTTTTGTCTTAGGTGTTGGCTCATGGAGGAGACAAAGATGCCATGGAACTTCTCACCAGTTTTCTTGGAAGGGAACCATCAACACAAGCTTTCGTCGATAGCCGGACAAAGTATAGTTTGTGATATCTGCACCTAACGGTTATGATCCCCTAATAAATTTATCGGCTTGGTTTTGCTAAGCTGAACATTTTTGTTTTGTTTGTCGGAGATGTCGTTTATTGATGTTTTTATTAAGGAGTTGAGAGTACCGAACGGTTTAGATGGAATCATTCATTTCTTACCTTTCTCTGCGTCTTACGCAGCTCAAGTAACCAAAAAATGACCGGAGAGGACGGGTTTAGTCGCCAATGGTTTAAACCGGGGATTTTTTTTTTTTTTGAAAAATTCTCAAGTTTGTGTAATTTGAACAATTAAACCACCAAATCAGCATTCATAATAAAAATATTATCATGAAGTCTGAGTTCGACTTTGCTGGTACACTGTCTACTCTCTATTTTAAACCAAAACTCCTCAAATGTTGAACTATGAGCACTAGTATATCACCCATATGGAATGCAAATTCAAGTTGATAAATTGAGCTTTGGATATCGAGTGGAGTTAACGGAGACCACATAATTTGCATATTTATTAATATATTTTTGCAACTAGTGAAATTCGGACTGTGAAATTGATATGATGAGGATTGGGTTTAGTTTAGTTTAGTCATTAGTGGACAACAACACCGACATCATGTGGTTCAAACTGGTACACAGAACAAAAAGTTGATCAAGTGGCTAAATCATGAAATTCCGGTATACGATTTTGCTTTAGTTAAACCGAATAGGACACGTGGGACGCCTAATGGATAAGGCACGAATCCAACGAAACCAAATCATCCCCAAAACTCCCCGTTGCAGACGACGACTCTCAGTGGTGGTTCTAAAAATGGAGGTGAGTATGTCTCTGAACGCGTTGGCTCGGCTTCCCCTTAAGAACACGGGAAGACTCGAAGAGGCTGGGTTAGCGAGACACTCTCTGTTCACCTCGAGAACGGCATGCCGAGAATCGGTGCAGCGGCGGATGGTTTTCGTGGTGGAGGCGAAAGGGAAGAAAGGTATGGCTGCTCGTCAGTATCAACGCACGCCTCCTCCTATGCCTAAGATTGAAGACGATGGAAACCCTAGATTCGTTATCTTCATTCGTATGGCCAATGTTCGTCTCTCCCTCTCTCTCTCTCATCACTTTCAAATTTTCAGTTCTCTCGATTTGAATAGTTCGCTTTCATTTTCTTTCGACTTTGTGTTGTCCTCAACAATTCGAGACCAATTACAGATTACAATTTTTGGATTCATCAATGCGAGTTTTTGTTCATCAATTTGGGTTTTTTTTTTGTGTGTGTGTGATTAAAGTGTATTGTATAAACATGAACAGGTGTATCTTTGGTATCCTCTAAGTATAATAGCCGGCGGTACAACAGCTAAGATCATGGTAGCTGCAAAAGATAACCTCTTGGGGAAGTATATCTACAAAGACACCATTGCAAGAAACATTGCTGCTGTTATTTACAAAGTAAGTAAGAGTATTGTTTTGGGGGATACATAACACAAGGTCTGGTCTCTTTTAGATGTGATTTCTGATTTTTTTTAATTCTTCAACAGGATGAGAAGGAGATACAAAAGACAGCAATTAAGCAGCATCGTGTCTTGCGGACAGCCAAAGAGTTTCGCTATGGCTACAAACTTGTTGTAATGCTCTGGAAACCTTTGTCTGATTCCTTTTGTTTTATAACCTCTGAAGTCTTGGAGGACAGATTCTCTGAGACTATAAGGAACAATTGCTTGTTTTTTTTTTGGTTTGGATTTCACTTATTCTGGCTGCATTTCACATTCAGGAAAACGGAAACATGAGAGCTGCACTTAGTACCTCAGATGTGATCGAGGTGAGCTATACAACAATATTGAGATAAAAGTGGTGCTGGGATTTATGTTTTCTCTGAAACATTTGAGTTTTTTTTGTCTTGAACAATCACAGCTCCCAACCCCGGACCAGCTTAAAACAGTGTTGGACAAAGTGAAAGACTTTTTTGGGGATGCAAAAGAGTCATTCGGGAAGATATCATCGCTGAATCCTGGGACAGATGGAGAAACCGAAGAAAGCCCGGATGAGAAAGCCAAGTAAGTATAAACGGGTACAGAATGTTTCATTCTCTTCAATTTCACAAGACTTTTGATGTGTCTTCACTAAAATGATATTGTGACTCTATTGTTTTCCAGGGTCCAAGGCTGAACGATTGAAACTTGATGGGCTGATTCTGATTTCTGATGTCTCACTTGATATGGGCTGCAGAAGGTCACTGGATACGACAAGATGCCCGCTATTTTGTAGCACATTTTCTCTATACATCTCTCAGAGAAACATCTTCTCTTAAATCTCTTGTAACATATAACTTATCGTGTCTGTAGATTTGTTGAAAGGAAGAGCCGTTGTTTACAACTTGCCGAGTACTGATGACATCCGATTTTCTTAGACATTGAGCAAGTGATAATAGTCGAATTTTGGAAAGTTCTCACTGTATATTAACTAGAACTGCGCAGTATTGATGATATCCGATTTTCTGAACCTTGCGTTACGGTATAGCTTTGTGATTATTTGTTATGATTGAACTAGAGCTTAGTCAGATAACCAATCGATTGCCTGCTATAGGGTTCACTTGGTAGCAGATGTTAGGTATTCCTTAACACTCATTTGTATATCTAAGTTTGTACAAGTTCTCACTGTATGTTTCCAAGAAATCCTTAACTAGAACTGCACAGTACTGATGACATCCGATTTTCTGAATAATGCGTTACGGTGTAGCTTTGTATTTATTTGTTATTATTGAATTAGAGCTTAGTCAGATAACCAATCGATTGCCTGCTATAGGGTTCACTTGGTACAAGATGTCAGATAGTTCAAAACTCACTGTAGTTTCCCATCTTGGATTTGGTAGCAGATCTTAGACAAAAACGTTGTCCTAACACTCATTTGTATATCTAAGTTTGCCAATAGATACAGTGTGTAGAGATCTTATTCTCAAGAGTACGACAGAGCAAGTATTTTCCTTCTAGGAGAAGAAACACGTGAAAGGGAACATCATAAGCGACCATGTGAAGATCATAAGCGACGGTATGAAACATGTGGTCTTATCATTGTAATCCAACTATTTTGATGTAATTAGCCTATGACACTCATGGATTATTGTACATGCATCTGACCATGGAAGGTTCTTGGGAAAGCAAGATTATTTTTCAGGTATACCCACAAAATCTTTCTGCATTACACCCACCAATATACGAAAAGCAGTTAAAATGAGAACAAGGTCAAGATATGAATAAACCTTGGTCAACCAGGAGTGAATACTCGTCAGGGTCGGGAAGCCGCTCATTTCCAAACCAAAGGTGTGGTGGGAGCTCAGATAGGAGCGATGTGCTACTGCTGTAATCTTGAAACTGGAAGTTTTGGAGTCCAGTGTTTGCAAGAAAATGCTCGCCTTGAAGCCAGCTGAAGTCTAAGTCAGTGTCTAAAGAACCAGAATGATGTGATTCCGGGAACTCCCAGCTCAAGCTTCTCAGAATGGACTCTGTACTGTTGGTCACATTTGAGCTGAACTCCTGCAGCTTCATGCATGAGATGGCAGAGGGAGCGGACAAGTCCAGATCTTGGAGGGTTACAGTAGGGCTCTTGAGAAACTCATCCGCATTCACACAAGTGCCTCCTGCTGGGGTCTCATAAGAAAGCTTCATTTCCTCTTCCATGAGAGAAGGTGCAGAATTTGAAACATAAGAGCTTTGACTAGGCTGGAGGAAGTTGTTCTCATATAGAATCGGGGGCTTCGATTCAAGTGGATCTGGAACATCATTCCAGGGAAGCAGAGAATCAAACGCAGTGGAGGAAAGGGGAGGATCAAATCCTATACGTGTCTTTTTCGCTTTTGGAGGCATATGAACATCACTGTTGGGGTCAGAGACAGAAGCTGAAGCAAGTGGCTTTGGATCAGTCTCTGTTGCTTTATGGAGTAGAGAACTTCCCACAGAGAATGCATAGCTGCTCTTGCCTGGACTTTGGTGTCCTGAATTCAAATCGGCATCTTTTGGAGGTGAATCTATATTCTTTGCTCCACCAGAATAACACTTTAGCTCCTTTCCTTTCTCTAATCTGCTCAGGTAAAGTCTGTATTTCTACAAAAGAAAAAAAGTAACAAAAAGCTTAATCTATACTTTACTTCCCCTTTTGTCTTAATGAGCAGGTAAAGTTTTACCTGAAGGTGGCTTGCGACATTTTCCCTAGTGAGCCATGGAACATTCATGAGGTCCAATATCTTCTTGGGACCAGCTTCTGCCAACACACAAGAGACCGGGAAAAATCACGGCTCTATGAAGAAGACAAGATAAAAGCGAGAGAAGGTGAAGAAGAAACTGAAGTCGCCAACGTACTTACTGTGATCGCATCCGATCTGGTTAACAGCGTTGACAAACTTCTGGTGAAGCTCAAAAGACCAAACCACTCTGGCTTTCTTGGAGGAAGATGGGTCACTCTCATCCTGAAGAAGCTTCTTCTCAAAGTCAAAGTCTTTTCTCCTTTTCCCAAAAGAAACATCCTCACCTCCTCCAAGAAAATGTGCCTCATCGTTTCTAATGATCCAATCAGCTCCTCCTTCGTAGCAGCATGAGCCTTCGATGTCTTTCACTTCTTGAAGCTTCTTTCTCAGGACATGTTGCCATATAATCTTCAGCTCCTTCATTCTTATCGGCTTCAATAGGTAATCGCAAGCTCCATGCTGCACTCCTTTCATCACTCTGCTCGTTTCACCATCCACCGACATCACTGTAACAAAACAACAAGATTACGAAACGTTTTTGTTTCTTTATTACTCCAAGATCTTGATAAGAGACGTCTCACTTATGACAGGGAGGTCCAATTCAAGGCCAACGTGCTCAAGGAGCTTGAAGCCGTCCATGTCAGGCATGTTCACGTCGCTGATCACGATGTCATATCCGTCTTTCCGCTCCCGCAGCAACCTGAGAGCCTCTCTAGCTAACCCACATGTAGTGACTGCAACAGAGTTAATTCAAAAGCAGAGAAAGTCAAGGAGACATCGATCTCAGGTGGATTTTTGGAATCCAAGTGTTGAGGAGTGAATAGAAAAAGAAGAAGAGACCTTCGTAAGAGCACTTCTTGAGCATCTTCTCGAGAATCTTGAGCCAGGTTGGGTCGTCGTCGACCACAAGAACTCTGAGACCGACGGGAGTGAAGCCTTTCTCCATGTTCGCCGGCAAAAGAAAGAGAGAGAGATAGAGAGAGAGAGAGAGAGAGAGAGAGAGAGAGAGAGAGAAAGTGGTGTGTGTGTGAGTGTTCTTTTTTTTGGAAAGGAGGAAGTGGGAGTGGGTTTTTCGTTTGCGTTTTGTTTATGAAAAAGGCACACTCGGAATATTTAGCGCCGTTTAGATAACGGTCACTGGTGGCGCACGTTAGCACTTACCTCACTGATCTTCTCTATTTTGTTTTTTAAACGTGGCTTAAATAATACTAATTGCTCTTTAATTTTGTGGGATTACTTTCAGAAAACGAATTTTGTTTGGTCTAAGTTCACTCAAGAAAAAAAAATATTTGAACTCCTTTCTTTTTTTCTCTCTATCTCTCTCTAGATTTGTAAGTTGACGTCTCACTGCACCATATTCCTCCAATAATTTAGCTCTTCAAATTGTCCTTAAAATTTGCCATGATAATGTTATAAATGATTTCACTAATGAATTATTCTTTAGATTTTTATCTTTATATTGTATTTGGTATTATAAACATAAATATTGTGTTTTCTCTTATAATTTTAGTTCTTATTCTAACTAGACGGGAACTTCTTGAATTACAGTACTAATCTACGATCAACGGGTCCAATTATATATATATATATATATATATACTTCATATAACACATGAAATTTATACAATGATGCTACATTGAACAATTTTATATAGTGAACTTTATAGTTGCTAGTGAACATGAGATCAGTTAAAAGTTCATAAAACATCGATGTGATATATTCTTTCCCATGAAGTTTTAAAAATATTTAAAAAATCTGAAAAATTAAACTGTTTAAGTGTTTAACCCTCGAAGGTAGACATGGATTTTTTATCTGCATGATCCGGTTGACATCGTGACGTTTAACCCGAAAGACTTCAAATGTTTGATCTTTGACTCTTTAAGACTTCAAATGTTTGACCTTTATATTTTATTGAAAGAAAACTAATAAAAAGACAAAAGAATAAAAAGGAAAATGGTACACAGCTTGTCTTGCACAAGCTTATTTTTTTATGGATAAGGACTTGGCCTATATATGGAGACTTGACAAACCACAACAGATACTTCCTCATTATTTTATTTTTATTATTATTAATATTATTTTATAGGACAGCTAACTAATTGCACAATCTTTTTGGCAATGAGAAAAAGAAAACGCATTATAAAATTTGTGACCAGTGTTATTGTTTGGGAGCTTGTGGATGTGCATAGTGAACTGGACCTGTATCTGTATATATGGGAAGTATTAGGGACGAGGTTTGCACGTGACCCGTTTTTTAAGGAACAATATATAGCTCGTATAACTTTCATGATGATTATTTCATTCCTGTCCAGACTTTCTTTTGTTAGTTATGTATAGCAATTCGTATACTATATTGTTAAAGATGTAGAATGAGAAACGACTCATTAGACTCTAACCATGCTTAAGATAAGAACTCAGCGGACCATTTAGCTATGGAGGCACTTCGCTTGTATGCTTTAAACTTTATTTAAGCTAATGAAAGGTGTTTTTCAAAAAAAAAAAAAAAATGGAGATGAGAACTCGAAATCTTCTACATTAATGATTTCAATAATGATCTGCCATTGTAAATATTCGAAATACAATTTTTTCAGATTATTTTACATATACCAAACATTAGTATGAATCTGCGGATTAAAATCATCAAGAACAAAGTATTTCAAGCTAGATATTATAAGATGAAATCGTCTGTGTTGTCTGATAATTGTATTGTCTAGTTCTTGCCAAGCAAGTTGAATTAGATCCCTCCAAGCTCCAATCCGGTGTCTAAGTCCAGTTAAAAACCTGATGGGCCAAACTTTCTCTGTTGAATTGATTCACGTCTAAGATTAGTCAAGCGGTTTGAGTCGGTTGTGGTTGGACTAGGTTATAGTTCCAAATCCTCAATCCGATGTTGATCCAAAATCATCCAAGATTATAAAACAAAGGGTGGGTTTAACCAATAATTAATTTGACTGTATTCCAATATAACAGAATGGAGTGGTGAAGAGTGTGCATACATTTCTTCATTTTCTTTATACAACTGCGAAATTCGGGACCTACGTATCACCAAGCACCACTTAGTACGTGTAACATTTTGACAAAAGGATTTTTGGTTGATTTTTTATTTTGTTAATCAATTTTTCCGATCATCTAATCCCAACCCCGAGGGAAAGTAGTCACTGCGACGATTTAGTGGGCCTACAACGATATACGGCTTTCACAAAACGTAGAAGACGTACGTATTTGTTGGTACATCTACTTAAGAAAAAAATATGGCATATGCATCATGCATGCATGTGTTTGTATCTGTGCATATATTCCTCAATTGGTAATTAGTGGAAAATAAACATATATATAATAGATATAGAGGTTATAATAATGCGCCACAAAAGATGCACTAAGGTTGGATTAGACCCACACACCCAGAAAAAAAAAAGCTGGTAGAGTCATTTCCCCAATCACCTGCCGACATTTCACACTTCTTGTGGTCAAATTGTAAACCCTTAATTTGCAGAATGTCTTCATTTTATTGGCTTGTGTCGTCCACGCGCTGGTTTAGAACACTAATCATCAATTATGTGCATGTAAATTTATGCTTAATGCTCTAGCCTTCTAATTATTGGGTGGTATAAGTATAAATCCACTACCAATGAACATTAATCGTTCCTTTAAGTGAAGTTTCTCAGTACTTTATTCACCATTTTAAATTGTTTTTTATACTACAAGAAAACATGTGTATTTCCGACAATAATTTCCGACAAAAAATATGGTCGGAATTTTTCCGACGAATTTCCAAGAAATTTCCGACAATCCTAGAAAATTCTCAGAATTTCCTCGGAAATTTTTGACAAAAAAAATTTTCTCGGAAATTTGTAAGAAAATTCCTCAGAATCTTCTTGGAATTTTTCGACAAAACATTTTCTCGGAAATTTGCCGAAATTCTCACAGAATATAGTCGACATTTTCCGATGGAAAGGTTTCTCAGATATTTGTCGCAAAACTTGTAGGAAAACTATCGTATATTTTAGCAACGAAAATACTTTCACGAAAATCTTCCAAAATTTTATTATTTGAAAAAAATAGATAATATAGAAAATTAATTTGTTAAGGTTGTCGGAATTTTGTAGGAAACAAATAATTATATATTTTTTTGTTTTTGTCGGAAATTTGTCGGAAAACTTTTGGTGACCTTTCCGGTTGAGTTTATCAGAAAGTTCTCGGGATAGTTCTCACGATTTTCCACAAAATATTATTAAAATTAATGTATTCCGACGATCTTAACAAAGTTCTCAGAATTTTCTCGGAAATAGACAATCACCTGTTCCGACGAAATTCCGACAATTTTCTGAATTTTGTAGGAAATTTCTTGGAAACTGCTAAATGCTTCCGACAAAATTTTGATAACATATTAAGTCATATCACTTACGGTTTCCGAGAAAATTCCGACAACATCGTCGGAAACTTCTAGAAAATTGAATTTTTTGCCTATAAAACTGTGTAACTTTCCTTCCTCCACTCTCACAAGTTTTTCCATAACAATCTCACAACTCTCTGTTCTGATCCTCTCAAATTCTTCAACAAATCAGTTTTTTAGGAAAAAGTGTTTTTGTTGTAATTGTTAGATTATAAATTATCTGATGTGCTTTTGTTTTAATTGTTGTTTTTTTTTTACTTTTTAACATTAGAATAAAAATTTATATTAGAATAGTTGTTAACTCAAAATTGTTTTGAAATTCTAAATTGTTATAGAATTAAAAACGTAAGTTTAGTGATAAATCTTTTAATGGTAGTTAATTAAAAATTCTTAAGAAATAATTTTTTTAGTATTTTTTTATTTTTCCTCGGAAATTTCTCGGAATATAATATTTTAATAATATCTTGTCAGAAATTTGTCAGAAAAATTCCGGTGACCTTTCGATTGATTTTGTAGGAAAGTTCTCGGAATATTTCTAAGGAATTTCCGACAAAATATTATTAATATATTATTTCTTGGAAATTCATCGAAAAATTTCCGAGAAATTTCCAACCACCGTTTTCGACGACTTACCGATAACCGACTTTCTCGGATATTTTCCGATAAAATTTCGACAAAATTTTATTTTCGAAGCTCATATTCCGACCAATTTTTTTTTTGTCGGAAAGTCATCGCAAATACGTGTTTCCGATGACTTTCCGACGAAAAGCTTGGTCGGAAATTCATATATGATAATTTATGATAAATTTCTTATTTTTTCTTAAAAACTATTTTTTATTTCTGATAAATTTCCTAAAAAATAGTTTTTATTGGTCGTTTTTTCTTAAAAACTAATTTATGATAATTTTCTTATAAATTTCGCAACCAAAAATTATAATTGAGTTATTAAGAAAAGTATGATAATTTATTTCTTATTTTTTCTTAAAAACTATTTTTTTATTTCTTTAATTTTTGGTTTTTAGAAAAGTATAATAATTGCAAAACCAATTAGTGTGTTAGTGTATCCTATTAAACTAGTGACATCCACCCCCATGACATAAGAACCTATAGGTACATCAAGTCATCAACCATATATATATATATATATATATATATATATATATATATATATATATATACCATTTATCAATCCTATTGCATCAAGATATCTTTAACGAGTTATAATACAATAATATATAAAATATAAGAGACCAACTCTAAAGTGAAACATTAAGAAATCTATATGTTAGAAGAAGTGTTGTTTTATGATATAATTATTTTTTTCAGAAAATTGCTGATTTTCAATTTTTTAAAAAGAAAATTCGAATATAATATTCTTTTAACTAGAGTAAAAAAATTCACTCTATAATCATATAAATGTATAAGATATGATAAAAATTTTATTTTTAATAGATGTATTTGAAAATAATGAAAAGAACAATATTTATATAATGGAAGAAAAATGATTTTGTTATGAAAATTCAATTAATTTAGTGAAAGTGAAGCTTCACTTAAATGCAGACAGAGTGAAGTTTTATAATCTGTAAAAAATCACTAGAAAAAATATCAACAAAAAGAATATATTAAACATCACGTAAGAGGAGAAAGAGTAGACAAAATTAAAAACAAAATAAAATGTGAAGGCATCCTAGTTTAATACTACCCATTGCATCAAAAAGTATCTTTAACGAGTTAAAATTTAATAATATATGAAATATGAGAGACCAACTCTAAAATAAACATCAAGATCTATACGTTAGAATATGTGCTATTTTATATAATTATTTTTATCAGAACAATTTCTGATTTTCGATTGAATTGCTTAAGAGAAATAGAATGTATTTTGTTTGTAATGAAGTTTGCTAACTATAGAAGAAACTTGTATTTTTTTTTGTATTCTGTATAAAAGATATGATAAACGATTATATTTCTATTACATATATGTGGAAAAATTAAAACAACAATTTTTTTAAAATGGAAGAAATATTGTTTTAAAAATAAAAGGCAACGCTAGTATTTTAGCGAAATTGATGATTCCATTAATTGCATACAAATTTAAGTTTTGTAATCCGTAAAACATCGCTAAAATATTTTTCTTGGAAATAAAAAAACATCACTAAACATAAATCATTGAACATCACACAATAGGACACAGAGAAAACAAAATTTAAAACAAATAAAAGGTGAAGGCATCGTAAATCGTAATTTAATACTACTAATACTTAGGTTAAATAGCTAATGGGAGCACTAATTAAAGCTATACGTCTCAAACGCAATGAAAGTTTTCAAGACAGTTATCCCAAATGTGCCTTTCTATTTATAACTAATCTACCCTCTTCCATATTAATTACATTTTGCACCCTATGATTCATTCAACTATTAGCTCTAATGATCTAACTCTAAGATATTCTACAAAATTAACCTCATATGCCTACTTCATATAGTTTCGAAGCTATAAACAAATGGGAAAATCTACAATAAGTAGCAGTTCTTTAACAACTTATTATGTATCTAATCGTAGATTGCATATGGCTAAGGCTTATTTTGGAAAGAAGGCTTGGATTTTTTATGGAACGACTTTCCTAGAGCCAATGATAAGCACATTATAATTCTTTTGCCTCTTAAAGTCTCCATAATCATTTGGTTGCCACACCAATGCAGAAAAGAAAAGTAAACAAACATGCAGCTGCACATGATAACTTTCGTTATCTTAATTTTTTTTGTCAATATATGTATGTATAATAATTTATAAACTATGCTAACTATGTAAATTTATAATAATTGAAAATGAAGATCAAACTCAAATTTTTGATTTTACATTTCAATTTTTAAACCAATACGATATTTTCAAAAAAAAAAATATGGTCTCAATTCAGAATAATAATCTCACCATAAATGTAGACGTTGAAAATATTATACAACTACACAAAACATATTAATTTATCTATCCAAATATTTGCAATCAACTGATATTTGTTTTGTTTTGTGTCATTACCGGTTTTGAGACAACTCTTTGTGTAATATCTCAAACAAGTATAATATACAAGAAGATTATATAAGTATTGAAGTCGTTTTCTGCTTGAAAAATAGGGGAAAATGGAGTTGCTATAAAAGGTGAAACTTTTGAGAGGTAGGGGAGAGAATGAACTATATATTAAAAGAAACAAACAAATTCCAAAATTATTCTACTTATTATTATTATAAGTATTATAAAAAGTAACTAAATGGAAAATGCCCACTAACAAAGCACTTTATCCTACAGGAGAAATTAACAAATATTTACCAAAAGAAAAAAGGGGTATATGTGTATGATTGGTGACCAACAAATTGGAAGGATCAAGATGAACTTCGCCCTTCTCATCTTTTTGGCGGGACACTCTCTCCTTCTTATACATATCAAATTAGATTTATTGTTCTTAAATTATTTGGTTTCTACAAACACCTTTATATATATACAATATAATAAACAAAATGTCTCTATAAAACCCCTTCCTTCGATACTTCAGGTTATTTGATTTTCACCAATTTATTCTTTCGTCAACTTTTCCATTCTTTAACAGATTGGCATCGATACTTGATATCGATTTATAACTCGTTTTATTATATAACACTAGGCAAAAATATCGAAAGCTCAAATTGTGAAAAATATTAAAAGGTCGTATTTTTAAATTTAAAAAAAAAATCGAAAACTTAAGACCATAAAACGAAGTAGCTCGATATATTATATTACGTGCAATACATGACATTTCAAATGAATGTTATTTGTATTTGAGGTATAATTAGTTTAAGTTTTCCACTTTGAAGTCCAAACAATCCATAATCCTTTCAAATTTTGTTGATAAGTTCAAAAATATAAGTTTGAAAAAATACGAAAAAATAGGTTTCTATTTTTAGAAATAAATTTAAATTTTATCTAATGGTTTCTCTGTCTTAATAAATTTGTTTTATGAGCAAATTTTAAGAAGATCACATTTAATCTTTTAGTTTCAAAATACCACAAAATTTTAGGTTTAGAAAAAAAAAGTACTGAAGAATGAGTACTAAATGATTTAAGAACATTCACTAAACTTTTGGAAATTAATTTTTTGTAATCTTAATGTTTTTCAAAATCATGACATTATTAATATAAAACATATTTCTATGAAATATATATAACATATATATACATACATATATATACAACCTTTTCCTCAACATCATACAAATATTGAGAACAGTAGTTGTGAAAGCATATAATATAGTGTTATATGTATTGACAAGTGGCACCGATATTTATTTTAATTCTCATACACACTGACACACATATAACGTCATTCGATATTACCTTTTCTGTAGCTTTTCATTTAACAACATATTCATATTTTAGATTAAATCTTCACTTTACTCTCTTTGGTAACTTTAAGGAAGATGCTGAAAGTTGCAATTGTGTGCAATTTGTTAATAGCATATGCTGATTTTCTTCCACATAAAACTTATATTTAAAATTAGGAAAAATCATTAAAAATGTTCAATACTAAGTATAAAAAATAACAAATCTATTTAATATAAGTTTTTTGTTTCATATCTACGTTATTAACTTAATAATGCAGTCTAAATACGACTATATGATAAAAAAATACTCCTAATTAGAATAAGAAATAATAACTAGAAGTACTGATATGTGAAAACAAAATTTATCCTCATAAAATAAAGAGAAAGAGAGATTGGAAAGCATGAAAAATGTTATTTTGGTCGGTACTATTTATCAAATGGTGGGTGGTATTCACTCTATATATTGCATATAGATGTTAATTTGTTAATTAATTGAGACAACATATATCGCAAAAATAAAACATATCTGTATCGCACAAATATTTTAAATCAAGCAACTCTACCTAATTAAATCTAACTCCCACTAATTCCCCGTAATTTTTTTTGGGTGTAAATACAGTTGTTATATAGTTGATTTAGTTTGATAATCTTCTATTGCCACATATTCTTATTACTGTAAATAAAATTTATCATTTTGAAACTTACTAAAAAAATCTCTCATCAGTTTCAATCTTTCACCGGACCACATTCTACTTCTCCTTTGTGGACTCATATGTTATGTCACTACACAGCAAGCACTTATCCGATATTTCTCTTTTATCTAATTGGTTTAAAGTTTTTCTTTGGATCCAAAATGGTTTTTTTTTTGTCAAGAAAACTGCATTACTTAATCAGAAACAGAGTACTCGTACAAGGTCGACTTAGCGGCAGCATCAGCGGCTAAATTAAGAGACCTAGGGATACACTTGAAAGTGATGTGATCGAAACAAGCTGAAAGGATCTTGATGTCCTCGCAAATTGAGTAGATCTCCGAGATGCTCGAACCTGAAGAAATAGCTCGGATCAAGGATTGGGAGTCAGATAAAACCGATATTGAAATTATATTTTCTCCAAGAGCATGCCTCAAAGCAGCTCTCAAAGCGAGGCCCTCCGCTACAAGAGGGGAAGAGACGGAAAGTTCCACCTGGGAGAAGGGTCGGGTCCTAGGGTCGTTTTGGGGAGACAGGGTCCATCCGAGACCAGCCATGCTAACGTCCTCCCTCCATGCCGCATCGGTGTGGCATATTGTCTCCGTCAGCCTGTCCGGAGTACTCTCCAGCACCATCAGTTTTGCAACCTTGGTTTTATCCGGGGTCTCCTTGTGCCATTCTTTTACATTCAAGATGGCCTTCTGCACAACTTCCTCCACTGAGAAGGTGATCTCGCTGAAGATAAGCTTGTTCCTGGCTTTCCAAAGATTCCAGCAGATCCAGGGTGCAAGAGAGCCCTTGTTGATATCCGTAGAGTCCAAACAAGATGCCTTGGTCGCCTCATTCCATTTTGCCGCGATTCCTTCATCGTCCAGGGTCCACGGTGCCGATTTAAAGGGGGCGTGTGTCCACACTTCCTGGGCAAAAGGGCAGAGGAAAAGGAGGTGTTCAGGGGTTTCCGGCGCATGACATCTAGTGCACTCCAAGTTAATAGACGGGATTCGTTTTGCCAGGGCTACACCAACTGGCAGAGCTCCACTCATTGCTTTCCACAAGAAGGTTTTGATCTTAGGAGTCGTGGAAATGTTCCAGATTGCAGAGGTCCAGTCCAAGGGGTGTTCGTCCACATAATGAGTTGACTTCTCCAGAGCCACATAGTAGCCCGATTTTGTGGTGTAAACCCCAGATTTGTCCCTTAGCCATATACGGACGTCATCAGCATTGTGGAGGCTAGGCTTAATCTGGACGACAAGGTCTTTAACCAAGGGAATATGAGCTTGGACCTTCTGAGTATTCCATGAATTGGTGGTCGGGTTCAGAAGGTCAGAAACCATAAGGTTCAGCGAGTCTTTTGGGGCCGGTCCTCCAGGGGAGAGTTGGGAGGATGAAGAGAGCCAAGCCTCCGACCAGACATTGACGCTTTTACCATTCCCAATTGACCATCCCAAGTGGTCACGAAGAAGGTCACGCCCTATAAGAAGGCTTCTCCACCCATGGGAAGCCGAAGCAGGGCAAACACAGTCTAGAAAATTTGAGCCGTTGCAATATTTACCAAGCAGAATCCGGGCAAGGAGGCAATCAGGTTTTGTCAAGATCCTCCAACCTTGCTTGGCAAGAAGGGCATCATTAAAACAGGATATGTCCCTGAAACCAAGTCCTCCTTGGCCTTTACCCCGAGTCAGTTTGGACCATGCGATCCAACACATCTTCTTTTTACCTCTTTTATCATCCCACCAGAACCTGGTAAGGGCTGATTGGATTCTGTGGCACAGGGAGCCTGGCAACTTGAAGCATGACATAGCATAGTTTGGTATAGCTGAGAGAACACTCTTCAGGAGAACCATTTTTCCTGCACTAGAAAGGAAACGTGATGACCAACTAAGAGATTTTTGTCTGATCTTATCAACAATCCCAGTGAACAAGTCTTTTTTACGGCGGCCAAAGTGCTCAGGCAGGCCTAAATACTTGCCAATTCCACCTTCTTTGAAGATTTGCAGGGTTCTCTGAACCCGGTCTTTGATGAGAGGCGGGGTTTTCCGTGAGAAGCTAATAGATGATTTCTCTCGGTTGATGGCCTGCCTTGAGGCTGATTCATATTTCTGGAGGATATCCAGGAGAGTTAATGTGTTTGACTCGCTGGTGTTGCAAAAAAACATAGTATCATCTGCAAAAAGCAGATGATTTAGTCTTGGGCTACCTCTAGCTGCTCTGAAGCCTTGGAGGGATCCATTAGCTTGAGCATTAGAGCACAAAGGAAAGAACTTGGCTGCAGAGAATGAATAAGTAGGGCGATAAGGGATCCCCTTTTCTTATTCCTCTGGTCGGAACAACCCTCCCTTGAGGGCCATCATTCAGCAGGAAAGAATAAGAGACTGAACAAACATTGCATTACCCATTCAACCCAGCGGTGATGAAACCCAAACCTAACAAGAACGGCTCTGATAAAGTTCCAATCCAAACGATCATAAGCTTTGCTCATGTCGGTTTTGACCGCCATGGAGCAGTAAACTTTGGCCTCAGAGGTTTTGAGAAAGTGAAGCATTTCATGCGTTGTCAGCACATTGTCGGAGATAGCTCTTCCCGCCACAAAAGCTGATTGATTTTCAGAGATGAGATCAGGAAGCAGAGGTTGCAGACGTTTGGTGAGGATTTTCGATATAATTTTGTAGTATACGTTGCACAGAGCGATCGGTCTGTATTCCGACATCTTTTTGGGGCCTGAGCACTTCGGAATAAGTCGGATAAACGTTTCATTGCACGATGGAGGCAGGACACCAGAAGAGAAGAACTCTTGGATTTCGGTAACAATTTCGGGTCCAACCGTGTCCCAATTTGAGTGGAAAAAACTCGCAGAGAACCCATCTGGGCCTGGGGCTTTGTCGGCATGAATAGAAAACACCGCCCGCTTAATTTCCTCCGGCGAAGGGATTACAATCAATTGTTCATTGATCTCCGTCGAAACAGAGGGTGAGATGGCTTCTTCCACAATCGGGAGCCGAGTGGAATGCTCAGCCGTGAAGATCTTCTGGAAGTAGGAGACAACCACCTCAACCATTTGATCCTCTTCAAATTTCGGGACTCCATTCACGTCTTCAATGACGGCGAAGTTGTTTGCAGTGGCTCTGCTTTTCGCTGTCGCGTGGAAGAACCCGGTATTGCGATCACCCAAACTCAGCCATAAATTTCGGCTTCGCTGCTTCCAGAAGTTCTCTTCGGCGGCGTAAGCGACCCGAAGTGACTCATTTAACCTCGCGATGAGTTCACCGTTGTTCACCGGAGCCGCCATAGCCTCTTCAAGCAATTTCTTTCCTTCGACGATTTTAAGCTGGCTATTCGAAAATTGGGCTTTATTCCACTCAATAATGGCCCACTTGCATTTTGAAAGTTTTTGGGCTATCGGGCGACTTGGGTCGGAAATCCAGGCCTCATGGATTATGTTTTTGACCTCTGCGTTGTCACGGAGCCGTCGGTAAAACCGGAAAAATGCTTTTCTTCCTCTTCCGAGATGTATCGAAATGAGATGTGATCGGCCGATGATCAGAGCCTTCGAAGTTGAGGTATTCACATCGACCAAAGGGAAAGGTCTCTGCCCAATTGCTATTCACCAAAGCCCTATCAAGTCGACACCGCACGAGGTGCTCATTTCTTTGTCCTCTCCAGGAGAGAGAGTCGCCGGAGTACTGGAGGTCATAGAGGTCCCCCTCAGACATAAAGGATCGAAAGTCAATGAAGGTGCCTTCCGCTCGGGTTGGGCCTCTGATTCTCACTAGATGTACTCCTAGTTTCTACTGCAATAGAACAGTGATGTAGTTGTAATATAAATGATTCGAAATCCAGAGGACCAGTGTTACTCTATGTGAGGATTGAATTAAAGCTAAGACGAAAGATGGTTTGTTTTGAAAACTAAAAAGTAACAGAATGGCAAACAACAATTTAAATTCAAATTAAAACAAGCACTAGACCAAAGCAATTCGCAGGAATTTCAGAGATAAGAACCAGATGACTATTCAGGGCACAAGTGTAACGCAAGTCTCGAACTCAAACAGAAAAGCTTATCGATCCACTGTCGTGATCTCGATAACTTTGTCTAACAACCTAAATCCTAAACTGTCGTTTGAACCTAGAAAATTGCAGACAAGCATTAGCTAGCAGGTTTGATCTGTTCATGATTTGCCTTAACTTCAACTGTCGTTGGCTAAGGACAAATCGCTCACCAATGTTTATTCTAGCAACCTATTACACTTTTGATGAACAGATTAACCTAAAATCGCAGATTGAGTGATCAATTCAACCTAAGCATTAAGTCTAACAATGGTGAAGACAATAGATATCAAGCCCTATTTGCATCTAATCCTCTAACTCATGGAAACCTTTGAACGCTTTAATCTAGCTAAGAGATCTACTCAGACATGGAGAAAAGAAACACAGAAACAGATGGAAAGGAATTCATGAATTAAAATCGCAGAAGAGATAATAGGGTTCAGAATTCTTCTCAAAGTGTAGCAGATTTCTTCTCCCCAAAGGCTTACAAGTAAAAACTCTATGGTTCAGGAAATTGTAAAAAGAAAGCGTAGAAAGTCTGTAGAAAAACGTGATAATAAAACACAGGCGGCTGTGGGCTTTTTATTCTCTTTCTCCTCCCAAAATTAGGTAAAAGTCGATTTCCTTATTTTTTTCCCGTCTGGAGCAGGTGCTCTACGAAGGGTCCAAACCGGGAGCAGGTGCTCCGGGGATGATTTCTCCAAAAACGTGTGAAATAGCTCCTTATTGCTCAAATTCATCTCTTTTTGCTCCAATGCCTCCTAAACACTCCAATCCTTTGATAAGGCCTCTAAGTCACCTGAAACTTCCTGAAAAGACTCCAAAAACTCCTAAAAAAATCAGTAAACACAAGTTAGAATGAGTCAAAATCTCCACTCATCAACTCCCTCGAACTTGAATCCTTGTTTGTCCTCAAACAAAATCAAATTCAACTCCAAAAGAATGACTGGATAAAGCTGGGAACTCGCAAAACTCAAAAGACCGTAAACCTGACCAAGGCATGTGACAATCTGCTGCAAAATCAATCAAAAATCTAACCTCCATGTACTTCTCCGTAGACGCTGCAGCTTTCCAGATTAGTCCCTCAATTTCATAACATCATCCATGTCCCATCATCGCTGAGTCTCATCGATAAACCCAGTGCTAAGGACCTTCTAGACTCGTTCCCATACTTATACCTCAACAAATTGACCATACTACACAAAAGTACCTTTCCTCTCCCCCGAACTTATTCACTTTTCAAGCTGTTTCGTTTTTTTTTTTTTTTTTTTTTTTTTTTTGGCACATATAACAAGGTTCAAAGACGCGAGTATTGATGGTGATTGCCACCGAATCCCCGGTTTGTCCCCTCATCATATATCAAAGGTGTAGGCGAATAATGGGGTCACAGGAAATTTTCCTACCCCTCGCTTCCATCCCTTGTGTGATCATTCCACTTTGGAAGTAAAATAATGGGATCCTTAGAAATTTTCCTAACCCTTTACTTTTAAAAGAAAATCATTTCAATCTTTTCTGCCTTTTGATCATATTTTTTTTAGAAACAGCCTGAAACAATGCTTAGAACATAAGAGAGGAATACCAAATCTATCACACAGGTCTTTATTTGTCAGGTAAGAATGAGGAATCAAGCCCTATGAGCACTAACCTGATCGATGAGGAAAATGAAAAGCTGAAAAATTAGCTCAGGTTCATTGGATGTGTCAAGAATTTTGGGCTCCTCTAGTCTACTGCTTTGTCTTTGGATTTTCCATTAGTCGATCTAGATGATTCTGCAGCAATAATCACTAGAAGAAGGTGGTCAAGATTCACAAATGGTCAGAAATCATCATAGAATTGGTCCTAATTCCCACGAGCTTTGACTTGACTCATATAACAAACTGACTCAAAGAAACAAAATAACTCAAAGAAACAAACTAAAACTGACTCAAGAAAAACACAAGAAAATGCAAAAGATGACAAGATCCTCCCCCGAACTTATTATACACCGTCCCTGGTGTACAAATAGGAGCAGAGAAAAAAAATCCTGTCGAAACAAATAAAAGAAAAGAAACCAAGGCGGATAATACAATGGTGGTAGAGAGATGTTACTAGCGGTCAGTGAGTGGTGGTGTCCTCTGGGCTCTCACTACCAGATCCACCAGTGCGACGTCTGCGTCTCGGGTGCCTCTCCGGAGAACTGGCTGCGGTCGCTGTGCTGCTACGACATCCACTGGTAAGCATCTGCAACAACCTCTTCATGAGGCTGTTGTTCTTCTTTGTAGACGCGACCATCCACCTCTGAAACTCTGCATCATAAGGATCATCAGAGATAGGAGCTAAATCGAACTCACCAGCATCAGCTGAAATGTAGTCAGGCAGCTCCTCATCTCCCTGCGGTGAATGTGGATAGCGTGAAGAACTGGCGCGAGCAGGTGCTCCGGAACTCGAAGCAGGTGCTCCGGATTTCGGAGCGGGTGCTCCGTCGTGTGCTGCATCAGCTAAAAGGGGCACCTCCATCAGGAAACGCAGGTTAGCTGCAGTGTTTAGTGCAGTCATGGCAGGATTTGGGAGAGGCGTGCGCTGTGCAACTCCGTAAGCACCTTTGTAGCTGTAGGTGTTCTCATCGCATAGAAAACCTGAAGTCAGCAGATGGGCTGTGTCCATTCTCCTTCGGCTCACATCTTTTGTAGCATACCAAAGAGGAATATGAGCAAAAGTGAAAAGCGCTGTGAGGAGACTCCCAATGTAAATGACCTGCGAACTCCCAAAAGGTTTGGTCCTCACTGCGCATATGGTTTGCGCCAGCTGAACTCCAAAGTTGATACTGTGCTCGACCGGGACACTGACGCTGTAAGAGTCTGCAACCAAATCACCACAACCAAAGTAAAGCAACATCAAAACATCCAGCGCTACCTTATTCCCAGAATCGCGGTTGAACAGCATGTTGTTGAAGATTTTCGCACAGATTTGAACAGCTGGGTGGCGAATGACTGATACACTTGCCGTGTTCGACTTGTAGTGGCCGGAGGCGATGGTTTGCCAAAATTGGTTGGCAACCTCAAACTTACTCGGGAAACGCAGCTCTTTGTCCTCGTCGTGAAACCCGTAAGCCATGCAAAACGTTGCCATGTCGATGCTATAGCGCTTCCCTTCAGCAAAGAAAGTGAAAGTCGCTTCATCGGCCTTTGGCTTCGTCGGATTTGCGTACCTCAACTTTGCAGATGCGAGGCATTGGCGGACCAGATCAGGGTAGAGATCGTCGTCCTCGAAAGCGAGTTGCGTCAGCTTCGTGTTGCGCAGGATGATGCTCACCTCATCGAAGATTCCCAACCGTTTTAGTGTGTCTGTGCACATCACTAAATTTGGTTGCAGTTTGATGGTGAGCAGCTTGTTGTAATAGAACGAGTCCGTTTGGTCCCACTGCTCGTCCGATGGTTCGGGTATCAACTCATCAGGCAATTCGATCGGTGTGTTTTCTTCGCGAGGCCATGGATACGTCGATGAGGTAGGTTTACTTCCCTCACCGTTTTTCTTCTTTCCCTTCTTCTTGAACATTGTTCTGGGAGGCATTCCTGGAACAACATTGAAGAAGAAAACAATTAAGCCCATAGAAAATCTCCAACCTAATTTTTCGAGCAGAGTTTTGCATGTGTGTATGTAGAACGGATAATCACATAGATGTAAACTGATGCTGCTCTTTGCTGGGTGTCGAAATTGGTTGCAGAAACGGAGAGAGGACGAAAAACCGATGAACTTAGACTCAAAAAACGTTGAAATCGGTGAAGTTTGAAAAATCTGGGTTTTGAGCTCAAGTATCAAGTATGGCGAAGAAGAAAGGAGGAAGGAGGAGGTGTTTATGGGTCGGGGTTTTAAAAAAAAAAAAAGGAAGGGGAAACTCAGGTAGGGTAAAATTCTGTGTAAAATAAATCTTTTGTTAAAATTTGCACACTAGCCCCTGAGTTCCCATTAAAACCCCAATTTTCCCCTAAAAACTTACCTGGAAGCGCCAAACACCCTGGCAGAGCAGGTGCTCCAAACTAGAGCAGGGTGCTCGTTCGTCGAATTCTACGTGGTGAGCAACCAACCTAGCAGATGGAGCAGGTGCTCCGGTAGGTTGCTCCCTCCTTCTTCTTCTTTTCACCTCCATCGCTGAAAACCTCTCTACCTGCTTTACCACTTTTTTTTTTTTTTTTTTTTTTTTTTTTTTTTTGGAAAAGAAAGAACCTAAAAAACAGAGTTAGTAGCTAAGAATTGAAAGACACAAAG